CACCTCTCGACAATATGCGTTTTTGCATTGCATAGCTGCAAAAAACGCATAAAAATAATCAGCGCCAAGTTCATGGGTGTTTTAGTTTACTTGTCTTTGCTTCATTCGTCTGTTTACTCAAATTTTCAAATGCTCAAACAGTCGTTTTGCCAGCCTTCATTCTAGCACAACCTGATTTAATTTGCCCTCTTTTCATCCGAATTCATTCCAGGGCTCTGGCTCTTCCTAGTCTTGCACATCTCTGGGGTGAATTGCCGAAAAAAAAAATTTTTTCAGATTTGCAAAAATGCTCCTTTTTTTGCGAAAATTTTGTTTCGTTTCTTCAGATATGCATATGGGAGGAGTCGCTTTTATTAATTAAAATTTCCTCTGGAGGAAAAGGGGATGAAAATTTGCATGGTCTCTTTTTTTTAACTCATCCATGATTTTTAGCCAAATTATTTTAGCGTGCAACCCAAAATTATTATTTTGGGCTTTCATGTTTGTGTGTACATCGAGTAGGTTGTAGGTTTGCGAAGCATCCACTTCTGAAAACGACGTTGTGCCTGTTGTTGTATCGCGATTAGACGCTGAAGCGACGAGTGATGATGACTGCTCCTCTTGTATTTTCTCCATAACGGTATCCGCTTGATATTTTTGCATTTTGAATCTTTTGATTGAGAGATGAGCGATCAGAGAAGATCCGGGAGTATTATGAGAATTTTCAAGGCATACGGGAATGGAGCTCTTGTTTCGGAGCTGCATCATCTTTACCATCAGATTGGCAGTGATTCGTAGTGGTCAGGCCTAGCCAGATTAAATTTTACGACGTTTTTTCTTGTCTGAAGTTTTCAGGCAATAACTAAAACTCGGCTCGGCTAAAACCCTAATGCTGTATTTCCTGCCGGAATTCTATTCCCGACGAACGACGAATCTGCTTGGGTCAGAATTTCTGGAGGAAGGATAAATGATCATCCATCGGAATCTTGCTATATAAAGAGCATCGAAAAAAGTCAAACGACTGCACTCTCTTCCGTTCCTTTGATATATTTTAGCGTGACTACAAGTATCTTTAGCTACGAATGTAGCAGTCTAGAGGGACTCTTGGCTTCTGAAGCCTTCGGCCTTCGTATTACGTTGAGGGCATTTCCTCGGAGCCAGGACTGGACGTCTTACTAGGTCCACGTAGAATGGGTTTGAGAGGACTGTAAGTCCCGGTTTTTATTATTTCATTAATTTCGTGTACACTTTTCACCTGAAAGAAATGCTAATTTCAAGTCAGATTTATGCCGAGAGGATTTGTGCTTGAGGTTTTTTGGTACATCAGCCATAAAAATCCTGTAATTAGAGGAATTTTTTGCTCCCCATTTTACCTATTTTAGGTTGAATGGAGTGATTCGCGAACTTCATATATTGTTAGGACAGCTGATCAAATTGCTGATTTTCACAACCGGTTGTTGGATAGTTTTCCGAATGAAGCAGGTGCTCGATCCGGAAATCCCCGTGTTCTTCCATATCTCAATCGCTCACATCCTGGTTCCGTTCTGGGTTACATTCGGTAAGTCAGTGATGTCTTTCTGAATACCCGTTATCTTAGTGTAGTACACCCCTCCCTTTTTCTCTCGCCAACCTCCCCCCCCCCCCCCCCCCCCCCCCCCCCCC